TGTTTCTTTTTTGGATGCATTGTGTTTATTTTTCCGAGGCACCCACAAGGGTTAGTTAGGTGCCCCATGTTATTGTGTGTGTTATGTGTGGGCTCATTTAAAAATTAATATAATGAATAAATGAATACATTGGATGAAGCTTAAATTTACTAAAAACTCTCCTCTTTTTAAAACATAGGTGCTGGAAGTAGGAGTGCAGGGGGTGATGCAGCACCCCGTGACTTGAATTGGTTTACATTATATACAGGCTTTACCATTTGGTTCAGTGGCTCTCAGCACCCCCATTATAAAGATTGTTCCAGCACCCTTTTCAAAATGCCTTTGTGTCCCCTTGCCTGACAATGAGTCTCCACTGGATCATCGGCACTGGTCAGATCTTAATGTCAAGATTCTAATTTGTAGATTTCATCTGCAGCAGGATGTTAATTACACTAATGGATGCTTGCACTTTCAGTACAAGGATGCTCTTCTGAATGCTGATTTACTAGAGGTTACTTCTCATTTCTGTAAAACCCTCTCCCCCACGTGTCGCCTGAGATCTCTGTGTAACTGGAATTCTGTTGGTCATCTCTTTTACCACTAGATCATAAAACCTATAGAAGAGCCCAATCCTGCCCCCCATTGAATTCAGTGGGAGTTTTGCCTTCACATTAATTGGGAGTAGGATTGGGCCCTGTTTTTTTTCCCATTGACTAGGACTGGCAAATATCAATGAACCTTGCTTAGTATAGTGAAATTATTTTTCTTTCTACGGTAAGGATCATCACAGGAAATAAGAATTGTAGAAATTAGGGAGGGAGACGATCTATTAGTTCATCTAGTCTGTCACGTGGCTGGTGCAAGTCATTCCCATAGGCCTTTCTATTACCCTGCATAGGTCACAGCAGCCCTGCGGACCTTTACAAACATGCTCAGGCCTGTGGTTCCTAGTGTGTCCAATGATTTACCCCTTCAGAGAAATGCCAAGACTAGACAAAGCCATTTATGGACCATCTAAGGATAATGAGAACGACAGGCATCTTCCTGAGGCAATTTGCACTTTCAAGTGACTTTATTTCTCCTCTACCACATGACTTTTCTACCAAATCAGCAAACATAAGAACGGCCAGACTAGGTCAGACCAAAGGTCCATCTAGCCCAGTGTCCTGTCTTCTGACAGTGGCCAATGCCAGGTGCCCCAGGGGGACTGAACAGAACAGGTAATCAAGTGATTCATCCCCTGTCACCCATTCCCAGCTTCTGGCAAACAGAGGCTAGGGACACCATCCCTGCCCATCCTGGCTAATAGCCATTGATGGACCTATTCTCCATGAATTTAATCTAGTTCTTTTTTGAACCCTATTATGGTCTTGGCCTTCACATCATCCTCTGGCAAGGAGTTCCACAGAGTGATTGTGCCTTGTGTGAAAAAATACTTCCTTGTGTTTGTTTTAAACCTGCTGCCTATTAATTTAATTTGATGACCCCTAGTTCTTGTGTTATGAGAAGGAGTAAATAACACTTCCTTGTTTACTTTCAAAGCAACATATTTGTCTTTGAAAACTCCCGTCTCATTAGCCTATAAAGAGAGATCAGCCAGCTCTAATCCACTCCTTTGTTCACAAAGGATGAAACTCACCCTGGTGGAAAGGGACAGCACACAGCGTAGGCATTGTCTCAAGCGTAATTTAAGGGCTGAAGTGGGACTCTAATGGTGCACAGACCTTGGACTGGCCCTCTGCACAGAGGGGGAATTTTACCACTGGAATTGACTGTACTTGTATGTAGAGATGGATCAAAATGAAAACTCAGAGCCAAACACCCCAACTTTATCCCAAGGCTGGATTTGGTCCTTAGACCTAGGACGTAACATGGACTAGTGGAAATCAAATGTAGAAACTGTTGAGTTCTAGCCATGGCTTTGCCACTGAGCTGCTGGGTGACCTGCTGTGTAAGTCACATCACTTCCCTGTGCCTCAGTTTCCCCAACTGTAAAACAGGAATAATACTTCTCACGTAGACACAATTTTGGGATTCATTAGATTATGTTTGCAGAATGTGCAAAGTACTAAGATTTGCATTAGCTTACGGACACCTATCCTGCTTTGCATGAGTTCAGAGAGGTTAGTTCTAGAGACTACCCATAAAAACTTCATTTGCCTGAGAAAACAGAGTATTTTTATCTCAGTGTACTAAGATTGGGGAAGTTAGGCAGGATCCGAAATACCAGGGAAATGTTATCTAAGTGCAAGGGCAACATTGGGAAGATTTTAAGAGCTGGGTATCCAGTTGGTTTTGTCATGCAAGGGTTCTGGGTGGTAAGACCTGTGTGAACAGCCAAAGAGTTTGCTCTCTGATTGGATTCAATTCTTGAAGCAAAGGTCCTCCCCAGGAACTGGGCATTGGCATTCCTGAAAGAAGAGATTGTCTGCATGCTGTTTGTGACTACCTCTGCTCCAGAATAGGAGTAACTCCTGTTATTGCCATGTTTATAGAGCCACAATGCTGATTTCTCATGCATTGGGAAGCTGACCTGTAAGGCCACAGACATTTGCTTCCTGGTTGGCAGAATGGCAACAATTCAAACGAAGAAAAAGACAGGGCGTGAACAGAGAAGGGGAATGTCGCAGGTAAGAGCAATCCTCAGCGTGCCAAAGAAGTTGCTCATGTACTCCTCGCTTTGGCCTCACTCCGGCTACTAGGCAGCAGCGCTCTCCTTAACACAGAAGACAGAGCTGCAACACAACCTGACTTGCAGTTTCAATCTTGTGCCTGTACTTGCAGCATTGTGCAGGATCAAACCGTACCAGCATTACTGAAGGCTGTCATTCTCCTTCATTGCACAGTGTTCCCTCTCAGGTCTCAATTCAGGAAGGTACTATAAGCACGTGAGTAGCCAATGCGACTCTTCTGGAACTTAGAGACAGGCTTGTAGGACTTATGTATGCCACAGAATTGAGATCTCAGATTGTCTTAGAGATGCAATTCCTTAAGGAGGCCTTATGGATGGGGCTGGCGGAACCAAATGGCTGGGCGGACAGGGAAATATTTGAAGCGCAGACATCAGAGCATAGAGAAGCCCCCGTCTCACTCCAAGACAAGCTAGGGTGGCTGTGGTGCGGGGTTCTGTCTCCTGGCAAGCCTCAGGCTGCATCTTCTGGGCGAGCATTGATTGGGCATGATATTGAAGCAGGGGGGAGAGCTGTGTGATCACAGCTATGCGTGATAAGGGAACCCAAAGGGCTCTGTGGATCCTGAGCCTTCTCCAAGCTGAGGGGATGTCTGAAGAGAAAAGTAGCATATGCTTGGACAGACAGTACAGATTGCAGCATGAAGCCAAGGCTTTTGGAGAGGAGGGGAGCTAGTCAGTCACCAGCTGACATTGTATTCCAGGGAAATACAGCTGGTTAAAAGGCTTCGGAGTTATATGGGACATTTCAGGACTGATCTAGGGCTCTGCAATTCACAGTTCTGCGAGATGGCTGGACTACTCTGTTCTCTGGATCCTTCTGCTTCCTCACCTGATTCTTAATGAACGGACCGATGGATTTCTAAAGGCCTGACCCACCCACCCCAGAGCCCGGGCCCAGCCTGCTCATTCATCTGGGCACAAAAGAGGAGGAGGAGGAGGTGTAAGAGCAGGCCTAAGGCCTGCAGTGGTCTCCAACGGCTCTAGCGCCTTCTCCAGGTGTATGGCAGTTCATCTCCCTGCCCAGCCTTGAGCATCCTCTGGGCAGCAGCATGCAGGGGATGCAGTAGGGATCTGGGTCCAGTGCTGTGCGGGGGAGAGTCACCCACTGTGGGGCTTTGCCCAGTTCTACAGAACTGCATCCCTTCTGTGTGTGGGGCCCTCCGCACAAGAATTAAAGGGTGGCAGGAATTGCCCCGAGCACAGGTACAAAAATTTAAATATCCTGTTCCTATGGACTGGATGGATTCCCTCCCCTACGTAATTCAGTACTCACCCAACCCTTCTGGGAAAGGCTGGAGGGACAGACCTTAGTCCTACTGAAGTCAATGGCAATGGGACCAGGATTTGGTCTTAAGTCAGAGCCTGGCTCTAATAAACCAGCATCAGGGAGTGAATTCCACTCTTCAGGACCCTCCACTAAGAATGTCTGACCACCAACCAGCTTGGGGACAGTAGGCTGATCCATTGCCCATTGAAGTCACAACTACAATGGGGAATGGGGATAGTAGAGGAGAATCGGGCAGATGATGTCTACAATTTTTCCAGAACTAAATCGTAAAGAGATTTTTCTGGACACTAGAGCCCTGACAACTTTAGCTACCCACTGCAAATGCTGGGAGATGCCACAACCGATAGCTAACCTGTCCCCACTATTTTTTCTTGCCACCAATTACAAAAATATCATGTTGCATCCGATGAAGTGAGCTGTAGCTCATGAAAGCTTATGCTCAAATAAATTGGTTAGTCTCTAAGGTGCCACAAGTCCTCCTTTTCTTTTTAAAAATATCAGAGCGATATATACAAAGATTTCCCCACAGTTCTGAATACAGTGATTAGTAGAAAACTTGTAATACCCAGGTAACAGACGTCTAACACACCGACAGGGTATTCAGAATGGCTGAATCACATAGAATCACAGAAATGTAGAGCTGGAAGGGATCTCGAGAAGTCATCAAATCCAACACCCTGTGCTGGGGCAGGACCAAGTAAACCTAGACCATCCCTGGCAGGTGTTTGTTCAACTTGTTCTTAAAACCCTCAAATGATGGGGAGTCCACAACCTGCCTTGGAAGCCTGCTCCACAGGTTAACTGCTCTCTTGGAGAAAGCTACTTTGAATCTTTGTTCATCGGATACTTTGTTGCATCCGATGTAGTGAGCTGTAGCTCACGAAAGCTTATTCTCAAATAAATTGGTTAGTCTCTAAGGTGCCACAAGTACTCTTTTTCTTTCTACTTTGAATCTGTGACAACATAAGAGGGAACTCTAAAATTTGGCGTCATTTAGATGCATTAAGGCAGCTATAAATGCCCTGTGTCTTACATGCATCACCTCAGTTCCAAAAACATCAATTTGTAGATGGTGAGCCAGATCCCCAGCTGGTACAATTACTTATTTACACCAGCTGAGGATTTCACCCAATACGCTGATCTCATGATCTGGCTCTGAGCCTGCTTGTGAAAAAAGAAAGAAAGATTAAAGCATCAAGCACTTGTTTACTTTCCTTTGACCTGATATTGGTTATAATGATTTTTTTTGCATTAATTCCACTGATGCCTATTTACACCAACTGAGGAACTGGCCTAATTATAGTTTTGATTCTGTATTATTTATTAATGTTGCAAAAAAGAAAAAAAATTAAGAAATGAGAGGACTGAAACAGGGTAAAACAGACCAGGGAAACAAAGTTCTCCCAGGATGGTATTTAAAAGTTACATCAAGGCAGAACTATTTGCCTGTGTTCTTCAAATCATCAGCGTTTTGTCTGGCAGACTTGAAGTTTCAGAGTAAAGGTGGATCCAGAATCATTTCCAAATCTGCTCTGCAGCAGCAGGGAGGCCGAGGGTGTTCCCATGCCTCTTGCTAACATTCTGGGCCGAAGCAAACAACTTGATTTTGTTTTGTTTGAGACGTTTCTCAGTTGCTAGGTGTGCAGTAGTGACTAGCCCTCAAAACAGGGTTTAAGTGGACCTAAATGGTGCCTCAGTTTGGCACTGGCTTTCTACAGCGCGGGGGTGAATTTCACCCTATGGATCTTAACTGTAGGTTGAAAGAATGGGAATCTGAAGCTCTCGGTCTTCTCCCTGCACCAGGCACAAGCTCACACGGCTTCGTGGCTCAGGACATGTCTACACTAGAGGAGGAAGGCGTAAATTCACTCTTCAGGAGACATGTCAGTGCAAGCACCTTCCAGCTCCGGTCTCGGCGATCGGTTTCAAAACTGTAGGGCAGAGCCTCCCCCTTGCACACGTTAGGTTGTGCGTGCAATGCTCACACTTTCAGAAATGGAGCAGCCCCTTCCATGCCTGCCAACCTCACTCTCCAAAATCTGGCACGTTCACAGAAAGTGCAGAAACATCTCACGTGAGTGGCTGTTAATGAGAACTGTACACTGGGGTGCATGCAGATGATCTGCTGCTGCCGAGCTAGCCCGCTACATTTCGGTTGTTGGCCTGGGTGCCTGGTCCTAGTTTCTCACACCATTACATTCCCACGGTATCTTTGAAGTCTCCCTTTCAGGCCTCACTATCTGGAAACCTCTCACACTATTAAGTCACAAAGGCGCTGAGATAAAGAAAAAAAAAATCCAGAAGCTGTCATGACTTCCTGGAGCCCTCCCCTGTTCCTCTCTGCATTTAGCGAGAGGCAGTAGCTGCCAGCACTTGAGCTGCAGAGTTCAGAGCCAGATCCAAACTTCCCCAAAGCTCAGGGGTCATAAGACCCAGCTTATTGATTTCACTGGGAGTCATAGGGATTCAGCCCCTAGGGGTCTGACCCAGTGAAGTTTTGCCCGAGTACATGCTGAGCAGGGTATTAAAGGAAGTGACCCATCAACATTATGTGCTGTCTAATGGTTAGAGCGAAGGATGGGACTCCCTAACTCATAGGCTCGACTCCCCATTCCTGTCACTGGCTCCCTGGATAGACTTGGGTACATCACTTATGGTATATCCACATTGCAGATGTCGTTTCCAGCTTGGGTAGACACACACACGGTAGCTTTGACTGCGGCAGCATGCTAAATCTAGCAATGTAGCCATAGTGGCACGGGGCGCTAGCTGCCCGAGTGTTTACCTAAGGACCAGCTGTACTGTACTTGGGCAGCTAGTCTATGCCGCAGTGGCTACCCTGATGTTTTCAGCATTTTAGCTTGTTCAAAGCCAGTGTGTGCGCATGTCTACCCAAGCTGGAAATCCTATCTCAGCTGCACTGTGGACATACTCTTAAACGCCCTTCCTATACCTTAGGCTACCACTAGACATCTTACAGCTTCAACTACACTGCATAGGAGAATTAAGTCACATTTTCTAAAGCTCTTTGAAATCTGCAACTGAGATGAGCTATATACATGCAAACTACACGTGGGTTAAAAGCAAGGAAGGAATAAATAACAACCCTACCTGAAAATGTCTGCTTTTCCTCCAGAGATGCTAGGAGTTCTTCGTCATTGTTTCAGCCCTCTCTTTGCCCTAGCTGCATATACGGTAAATGTTAGCAAAGCCATAAATATAGAGCATGGGAAAGGAAAAAAAAAAATCTTCTGGAACACGTATGGTTTCAATTACTTATCAGTTGTGGCTGACTGTGCAGATTGGTATCTGGGAGAAACATATGATGGGCCAGCTTTTAAATCACAAATAAGGCTCTGTTTCTTTATTATGGGGCAGTGTTTTCCCTTATGAGGGACCAATGGGTACAGATTTGTGGGAGGGAGGGGGTTGAGAGAGTGTGGGAAGCAAGGGGTGTTGACTTGCTATGCCCCACTGCCACATTTGGGCTACTTGGTTCCACTTGTGTCCTGTTACTGAAATCAACATCTTCAGGACGCCATTCTTAGCAGCGCTGTTTTCTGGGAACTTGCCGGCATCAGGCAGAGATCTCCTGTGGGCCAGAAAGGCCTTGATCTTGCTAGCCCTTGTGCAGCACTGAAGGGAGTGCAAGGTTAATTACACAGCAGTACAAGTATGACCGGAGACTATGTGACACAAGTTATCCCCTTTGCGGCATAGAGTGGGACAGAGAGAATGACAGGCAATTGGGTCCTTTGGTTTCCTCTATTTGGTACCCTAGGCAAAGAGGGAACAGTGCGGCTGCAGATAGTCCAGCAGGTCCATTACAACGTCACTGCTGGTATTAACAGGCGACCGTGGGATCGCAAAGCAGCTCCCACGAGCAAGGGTGAGCAATTGCCAAAATCAACGTCCAAGTGATAAACTCCAAGAACCTTATGTGCTGGGGCTGTTCGGTCAAGTGCTGGGTTTTCCCACTGTGTGCTGGATAAGAACGGAGTGTGGCTCGTGCCGTTTTACTGAGCAGTAACATGAGATGGGATTGGGGTCCGGGCTGGTAGAAAGAGTGCATTTGCTGTGTGCTGAGAGTTCTGGGGCACACTGAAACAATTGCAAGTTAGTGCTACTGAGCACCATCTACAAGCACCGATGGGAGGGAAAGAGAATTCTGACCGATGATGGTGTCAATTCAGGGCAACTGCGCCTGTATTTCCCCTCAGTGGTCCATCTCTCAGGCCTCCAGCTGCAGCCTTTCTTGGGTGTCTCACATCCTCCTGAGTGGTGTATTTCCAGACTGCACAGGTCCCTGCTTTCACTGTGTTATTCCCAGCACAGACAGGCTGTGCGCAAGGACACCTGCTGGCTTTCTCTTTAGAGACGGTTAACAGGTGTAATTGCTACAGGGACAAGTTACCCACACAGCACGTCCCATGCTTTATTCCTAAGGTAAGAGCAGGAGAGAGGAAACATTAAAAGCAATAAAAACCTCCATGCACCCTCACAAGCTTACCCGAGGCCAGCCCAGCCCTAACACAGGCTGTGGCAGGAGCAGTCCTTCAACCCCCCCATCCTAGGGGTTTCCTTCTGGTTTTAAGTTCATCGCAACTTCAGCTCAGAACGGCACATAGTTTTATGGGGCCTCTGTAGGCCCAGTCCCTAAGCACTGGGGCCCTCCACGGACCAGGGGTCCTGTCCATTTGCCGGATCAGGAGGAAGGTGCTGAGCCTTTTTAAAAACAGGCTATTTATCCAAAAATCCTTTGTCTGTTGCTTCCTGGAGAATCCAGGTTGAGCTAGGAAAGGTGCACCTCTCCTGGGGGTGGTTTCCAAGAGCTGATGACGGAGGAAGTATGTTAGCACCCCCGCTCCATCTAGAGAAGGTACGTACACTGCCACAATCACCCATACACCACTGCATTTTTAACACAATGGACCCTAGGTACTAAACCTAACTCAATAAGGTTTAACTTAACAATTCAAGAAAGTTCATTCAGGAGATTGTCGGTCTGTCACAGATGACTCTTTAGTCCAGCTGGCAAAGGCATAACAAGATCCAATGGCTGGAGACTGAGGCTGGACTTCGGACTAGAAAGAAGGCAGGCACATATTTTTTACAGTGAGGGTAGTTAATCATTGGAAGCACTTTTCTAGTGAGAGGCTGGTTTCTCCATTCCTTGAACTTTTAAAATCCAGACTGGATCTCTTTCTAAAAGATCTGCTGTAGCTCACACAGAAGTTATGGACCTGGTGTCGGAATCACTTGGGGAAATTCTGTGCGATGCAGAAGGTCAAGCTAGATGATGTCCTTCTGCCTTTAAAAATCTATTACGTGAATACCGATAACGTTGTTCAATGCTATTAAAATGCCTGTCTAATGGACCAGGCCAGCAGTTCAGGTTCCAGGCCCTTCAGAGCCGAGGAGGCAGAAAATATTTGAGGGACCCCCTTATTAAAACCTTAGCACCACATTACTAGTCTCAGAATACTGCTATTAATTAGGGATAGGGTGACCAGATGTCCCATTTTTATAAGGACAGTCCCTTTTTGGGGACTTTTTCTTATATAGGCGCCTATTACCCCTCACCCCCATCCTGTTTTTTCACAGTTGCTACCTGGTCACCCTAATTAGGGAAGTGTCATTATCCCCATTTTACAGATGAGGAAATGGAAGCACAGAGAGGTGAAGTGACTTGCAAGTCTGTGTCAAAGCTGGTGTTAGAGCCCACGCATTCCTAGCCCCCAGTTCTGTGCACAGAACCCTAGACCTCTGGATTCATTTATGTCCATTTCCAAAACAAGACATAAAATACCCTGTTCCGCTCCTGTACCCAAATGAAAGGGGCGATAATATGACAAGCAAGCAAGTTTTCCAGACTCACAGGCCTAGAGGGAGTTTTACTCGGGTCAATGGAGAAAACCTGAGTTATTTCAAAGGGCTGTTTTGCAAGTTCATAAAACGCGATGAAGTCAGAATGACAGTGTGTGCTTAAGGCCAGATGAATGTTATATCATTCGCTTTACACACAGCCCCCTCCTGGCCTCAGCCGTCCCTTTCGGTGTCTGACGCTTCTTGAAAACAAAGCGCTGACAAATACTACTTGCCTCACGCTCCCTTGTGTCTCTTTCTGGTCCTGCTGATTCACACACCGAGGACAGGATCTGGAGGCAGTAATCCAGTTTAAACACTATTACCTTCTGTCCTCTCTCGTGGGTTGGAAGTCCTATATCCACCTCAGAAAGGCCTGATCCTGTAGTCTGTCCTGTCCTCACACAGAGCTCCCTGAACTTCTCTCAGCAGGAGTAGGAATCTCATGCATAATGCAGTAGGCAGATTGTGTCACGGCCCCAGATTTTCAAAAGAGCTCCAGGCCTGTGTTAGAATGGCACACTGTTTGGGTCTGGATTTTCAGAAGAGCTCCAGGCCTGGGTTAGAAGGGCGCGCTGTTTGGGTCTGGGTTTTCAGAAGAGCTCCAGGCCTGCGTTAGAAGGGCACGCTGCTTGGGTCTGGATTTTCAGAAGAGCTCAGTGCCCAGCGCTCTGAGCAGTTTGGAAAATCTGGATGTCTGTTTGTGACCAATTGCAAGCCAAACTGGAATTAACTGCAGGGAAAGGTGAGCTAGCTGAGTGAACGAGTGGCCATGGGCTCATTTGCCAGAGTCCCCTGCCTGGGAGAATGCAGGAAATGTTGACTTCTCTTGCTTGCAGGGGAGCAGATTGGTGCTTGCGAAGCTCAGGAAGAGACAGCATTGTGCTGTTTTAGGTAAGCTGGGGGGGGCTATTAGCCAAGAGAGTCAGGGATGCAACCCCATGCTCCAGGTGTCCCTAAACCTCCAACTCCCAGAAGCTGGGACTTGATGACAGGGGATGGAGGTCTCAAAATGGCCCTGTTCTGTTCATTCCCTGTGAAGCATCTGGCACTGGCCACTGTCCGAGACAGGACACTGAGCTAGATGGATCATTGGTTTAACTCAGTATGGGCGTTCGTATGCAGTTAATTTCCCACCTCTAAAACCTGAAACCTTTGGAAAGAAACAACAGTCCTTAAAACAAACAGCAACTTGCTGGTGTGCTTCGGGATGGGAGTCAGGCAAGGAGCCCTTTCAGATGGTAGCTGTCTCCATCCAGATTCTAACAACCACTTAACGTCAGCCTCCTGCGTCCAGTATGCAGGGTTAATGCAAGGCACTATTTTGTTTTGCTTCATTAACAAAGGGTTGATTAGTGGTTCCTTGCCTACACTAATGTGCTTTCCCATGAGGGCCTGTCTACATGCTGTAACTTGTGCTATATCTGTTGAGAAACCAGTTGTTGCTTTTCTGGTGACATTTTGGGGTGGGGTGGAACGAAATCAAACATATACATGATGACAATTCATCCCCCCCCCGTTCTGAATCATGGCACAGCTTGCAGGACAATGGGTTTGGCACCTCCTCTCCCAGATGATTCTGCAACTGTTCCTTGTGTCCTAGGGAAATTGCTGCGTCCAGCACACTCTCATGCTTGCCAAAACTGCTGTTCTCGTCTCTGTTCTATTTCCATCCAAGTCTGGGTGGCTGCTATACCGATTAGTGCTAGGAATGAATTCACTCATCTGTTATTTCAGCTCCTTAGATATATACAAGTCCCGCTAGTGACTCTATCTGGCTGAGATGGGAGATTGGGTTTTTTTTTGACTGACATTTTTGTGACTGACTTGATTGATTAGGGTACTTCTGGAGATGAGTTTTCACTCCTGCTTAAGCTATGATATTCCGCCCAGGGATGGCTGCAAATTATAGTTACATTGCACAGTGCATTCGAATCACAGGATTAACTTCCTGTCTGTCTATTTCTATGCCAGGAAGAGGTTAGCAAATCTGCCTGCTAGCAACTAACCCCCTAGCTGCAATGATTCTCAGTCCCAAGGGTGTTAATTTTTGTTGTCTTCCTGACTGATCTCGCACTGTTCTGACTGCACTGTGGGACTATATGTGTAAAAAGTAACTAGTCACAGACAGTAAAGAAGATGGTTTTGTGGTTAAAGGCCTGGATTAGAACCAGAAGACATTCACTTCTAAGCTCTCCGCCAGGCCTAGTGTGTATCTTAGGGCAAGTCATTCTTGCTGCATCTCAATTACCTTTGTGAATTCTTCAGGGCAAGGACTGTCTCTTGCTATGTGTGTGTACAGCACCTGGCACAATGAGGCCCGGATCTTGCCTGGGGCACTGCTGTAAGACAAATGAAAGATAATACAGTACTTGTAAAATTAATAGGCCAAATATTCCAAAGGTGTAAGTGGTCACTACCCCACTGAGGGCCACTGAGTGAATTTAGCCCAATATCTCAAGTCTTTCAGTTAATTAACTGACATAATTTGCAGCTGTTTGAAAACAGAATCATGGCATTTCTAATGGTTAGTCTGCTGTCATTTATGTCTCCCCATTACTCTTCAGTCTCAAATGACATGTCACCCTTGGTAATATACTCTGTTGCACCGTCTGTGATTTTCCCAGGTCCTTATTGATAACAGATCTTGGCTGCACTAACCCCTTTATTCTTAGCCCACTTTATCTTAGCCACTGACTGTTGTTTTGAGGCGCTGCAGATCTTCGAGCCATCCGCGTGTGGTTCACATCACCCGGCCAACACTAACTTCAGTTTCACCTTTTATTTCCTACTGCAGATACGTAAAGTCATTTTTTGTGCTGTTCCCCACCCCCCCACCCCCAATTATTGTTTCACGTTACGCAGACCACAAGCTTTTTGGGACAGGGACTCTCCTTACATTTTGTGTCTATATAGCACCTAGCTGGGGGGACCTGATCCTTTACTGGTGTCAATGCAGGAGGAACTGGATGAAATCCTATAGCCTGCATTATACAGGAGGACAGACTAGATGATCACAATGGTTCCTTCTGAACTTGGAATCTATGAATCTATTAACTGAGGCCTGTAGGTGCTATTACAATAATATGCCTGAGCAGTGCACAAGCTACCCCAAGGCTTTCAGAATATGCCTCTCTCTTGGTAATAAGTTAATAACAAGGACACTACATTTCTAGAGGAGTTTTTCAACCTTAAGGTTTCCAGGTTTATAATTTAGGAATTATTTGCCCAGCACTAAAATGCAACCACCTCTGAGGCAGTATGCAGCAGCTGTTTAGCAACACATAGCAAAATGATACAACAATTTAGGACAAGAATAGAAGAATATCATATGCAGCTGAAGACAACACAGGGAATTTTAGATAAGCAGAATATCAGCAATCAAACTGAAATTTGGCCAGGATATAGATGTTAAAGACCCCTGGTAAATTTTGTGAATTAATGATCTCGTGACAGTGAAACCCTGCCACAGGCACCCTCCCACAGTCCAGTTTTCCCTCCAGCTATCCAGGAAACGGAATGTTGTCTCTCTTGGCAGAGGGTTCAAACCCTTTCATTCACACAACGTGACATAGTCCCTGAATCACTCCAAGTCAAAATAGCTCCTCCCCAAACCCCAAAGTAAAACAAGGTTACAGCACAGAAGCTTTCCAATCCCATTCAAAGGTTCCCAGGTCACCCACCCAAGAGTCATTGACAACTCAGTCCCACTTCCTTTCCCCGTCCCAGGCCATCAACCTGAGATTTCTAAGACCGGATTCTCTCCCGTCCCAGGAGCTGTCTCCTGTAGCCACAGATCAGGTCTCCTACAAGAGGGTCCCTGCAGAGTTTCACTCCACAGGCTTATCCTCCGTCCTGTGAATCCTATCCCTGCTCAGGGCAAACTCCCTCCAGGACCAACCCTTGTTCCTGGGCTCTTCCCACAGCCCTCCACCCCAGTCTTCTGTCAGAGGGCTCCCTGCAGTGTTGGATTCCCCTGGCCTCCATGCCTGTGGGTTCTACCGCTGCTCTTCTTGAGTGAGCCCATTGCTTCTGGGCCCAGTTTACACCGGCCAAACTGGTCCTTCCCCTTGTTAAAGGGGCCTCTGCACTAGCCTTCCTGAAACTCAGGAGGGTTCCTCAGCTCTAGCCACTCCTCTCAATAGTGTTCCTCAGAATGTGTCACCAGCAGCTCACAGTTACAGCTCTCCTTCAAGTGTCCTTCAGCTCTTTCCCATGGACTCTCTGCTGCTTCTACTGTCTCTCCTCTGTTCTCAGGCAGCCTGCCTGTCGGATGCATGCATGGTGGGCACATCCTCACTTGCTCTCTTTCTGTGGCCCAGCTGCCTCCTCTTAAGCACAAATGGGAGACAGCTGAGCAGTTACAGGTGAACTGGACCCCACTTCCTCTGAAAGGGGCCAGTCTCCCTCTGACAGACCACAAGTGATGAGGACCTGAGTTTTACACTTCCAGGAGGCACCGCAGTGTTCTGTGGCATTGGTTCAGGGCTGATTCAGATGGAAGCATGCCACCTGCTGCATCAGCCTTTGGCGGGTGCTTTCAAACCTTGCTCCGTTTCCATTCCCAAGTGGGTCAGTTCTTTGCTAGTATCCACCTTTGGGAAGCACCAGATCTGCTTTCCCGACCTTCAGTATAATTCACAGGCTGCATGTTTTCCCCTTTTACAGAGACCAGGAAGCACAAGGGATAGTGCATAGGTGTTGGAATTAGAGGAGCCGCCACGCCCCCTGGCTTGAAGAGGTTTCCATTATATCCAGGGTTTACAGTGTGGTTCAATGGCTATCAACACCCCCACTGTACAAATTGTTCCAGCCCCCCTGGGATAGTGTGACAGAGAATTTCACCTCCTTTGGATCCAGGTTGTGATACCTACACTCGCACTGCGGGATACCTTACTCATACTAGTCCCATTGACTAAAGTGGGACCACTCCCGGTGAACATTCCATTCACGTTGAGTAACGACATCGCAACATGTGCTCTGTTTTTATACCTCGTTCCTGTAAGTAACATCATTTACCTTGTTAGCACTGAGTCCGGCTGCTCACTTGAGCTGGAGTTACTTCCCTCCTGCCTCGGGCAGCACCACAAACAGCCTTACGTAACAGAGTGAAACTTCTCCCTCAGAGGCTGAAAAACAAATAGCCGTTGGCAGTTTCCTCTAGCTGCTCTTGCCTTAACTTGATAAACTATTAACTGGCAATCTGACTTTGATTCCTGCACCAGGCAAGTTTGATACCAGCCAAATACTGTCAGGTGAATTACTTCTATCAGCCCTACTCTGAGTTCTTCTCTTACCACAAGATTCTATTCATTCGGGTTTTACTTCCAAATGTTGAGGCTTTCACTCAATTCTCTGGCTTCTCTTCTTTATAAGGTTCTTATACCACTCTCCTCACTGTAACATCTGAGCACCTTCCACTAGTGCATTAAATGACATGCCTAACATCTATCGCACATTTGTTCTCTCATCCTCTCCCCAGGGGAAGATACACGAGCATAGGAATGTCTTGCTTTGATGGGGTATTTTGTGTTGTTGTTTTTTTTTTGTCTTCCATTTTGTTGGAGGGGATGTTTTTTTTTTATTTTGTTTTAATATACCTGGTGCTCAGTGTTTATGCTGGAGAAGGCAGGTCAAAGAAACGTGCCTTCCACTCAGAGCAGAAGGTGTGAGGTTTGTGATGGCCCTTAGTCCTGGAGGAGTTCATTCCACAATCTCAGACCAGCCCCTGAGAAAGTTCAGATTACAGAGTTGGCAATTTATATACACATCACCTCGATCAATCGATTCCCAGTGCTTTGAAAAGTAACACCCCACGTACAGTGAGTGCTAAGTCCTTCTGACACCTCAAGCTTGAATTGAAAGCTTCAGATTTCAAACACTCAAAAGTTTGGATCGAGGCATGCAGTGGAGGTTTTGGTTTGGGCCGTTAGAACGATAGGAGCTATTTGCAAAGTTTGGAACTGGATCCAGGTTTGGAGTTCAAATGCTTCAAAGGCTCATGGATGTCAAACCCAGAACTCTGGTCTGAATCCATTTCACACAGAGAACAGCAAAGACTGAAATCCTCACATCAGCTGATCTGCTAAACATCTCAAACTCCCTGCTGGGCTAATTGATTTCTCTCCTTTGCCCATGTGTTTGTACAGTTTCCCCCAAATGGCCTCTTGGAGCTTGGGGCATTTCTTGTAACTCCATATTTAGTTATCCTGACTCAGCATGTTACCTTGCTTTGAGTCCCTTTTCACTGTTGCAGGCAGAATTATTGCCTTCCTTTCTAAAAACCTGCCAATTGATTTTCATATTGAATAAGAAATTCACAGCTCAGAGATGGGTAGGGTTGCCGATCCTCCCAGTTTCGGTGTAAGTCTCCCGGAATTGGGCTCTATCTCCCAGAGGCTACTGAAGCCAAACTGGGAGATTTTAGGCCACTAAAAGTCCAGTGGCGCACCAGGGCTAAGGCATGCTCCCTGCCTGCCCTGGGAGTGGGGAGAGGGTCTCTGCATGCTGCCCCCGTCCTGAGTGCTGACTCTGTAGCTCCCATTGGCCGGGAACTGAGGCCAATGGGAGCTGCGGGGGCAGTGCCTGCAGGCAGGGGAAGTGCACGGAGCCCCCTCTCCCTCCCCCCAGGGGCCGCAGGGACGTGCTGGCCACTTCTGGGAGCGGCGCGGGGCCAGGGCAGGCAGGGAGCCTGCCTTAGCCCCACAGTGCCGCCAACCAGGAGCCGCCTGAGGTAAGCGCTGCCCAGCCAGAGCCTGCAGCCCTCACCTCCTACTGCACCCCAACCCCCTGCCCCAGGTCTGAGCCCCCTCCAGCACCCAAACTCCCTCCCAGAGCTTACACCCCGCACCCTTCCTACAACCCAACCCCTGCCCCAGGCTCAGCCCAGAGCCCCCTCCCACACTCTGAACCCCTTGGCCCCAGCCCAGAGCCCACACAACCACACCCTGCCCCAGCCCAGTGAAAGTGAGTGAGGGTGGGGGAGAGCAATCGACGGCAGGAGGGGGGATAGAGTGATCGGGGCAGGGCCTTGGGGAAGGGGCGGGGCCTCATGGAAGGGGCGGGGCAAGGTTGTTTGGGTTTGTGTGATTAGACAGTTGGCAGCCCTAGAGATAGATCCTATGCCTTGGAATTCAGATCACAACCCTAAGTTTGGAGGAGTCCAGATCTGGGGGGTTCGTTCATAATGGAGGGAGGAGCTAAACATAAAATTTGAATCTTAATCTGGGTGTAGATTCCTATCTGTCCTCCCCCCTACCACAGGAAAAGGTTATGGGGTATTTGGACTTCGGAGCGTTTTAGTTCAGGTCCAGCTCTAGTTTAAGTGAAAGAAGGAGAAGAACATAACCACTTACATCAAGCCTTTAACCCAGTTATGGAGACCCAGTAAGGGCCTGTCTAAACGATGGCTTTTAAGGGTCTGATCCAATGCTCATCCCAGGAAATGGAAGGACTTTTGTCGACTTCACTGGGCTTTGGATTAGGCCCTGAAACCTGATGTAAGTGCATCCCCTGACTCTATTCCAGTGTAGGCGGGGCCTCTATAATCTAAAGCTCAACCCTCAAACTCTTACTCAGGATTAATTAGAGTTTGCACAATGTTCTTATTGTTTTGCAGTTTATTTATAGTAGCACCCACTGTGTGCTCAACAGATTCCAAAGACTCAAGATGTACCATTCCCTGCTCACAATCTAAAGACAGGCAGACCATGGGACACAGGGTGAGACAAGAGGAGCAACAATAGACAATGTATATACAAGTCACCCCCAGGCTTTGAATGCCCCATACAGAGTGAGTGCTAAGTATTAGGCAGCCCCCTCAGACAGCTCATGCTTGGATTGAAATTCTTGGCACCTGGTTTGTAAACTACTTGGAAATATTTGTCCCTGGTTTGCACCCTCCCCATCTCACCCCCAGCTTGACCTTTCATGGCACTGACAGGAAAGCTGAGTGGTCCCCCGAAATGTCAGCTCCTCAGTGAATTCAGCCGTGTGTTGTGTCCCCAGGTCCTCTGGGGGCGGTGAATGAGATTGGTTCTCATTAACACTGCCTGGGCGTTTGGCATTTCAGATTACATAGTGTCATGTCCATTCGGCAAGGCCATAGTGATGTTTAATGAACGGGGCCCCAGTGGTGTCAATCTCTGGCTAAACCCATCGTCTGGTCCAGCACGTTGCAGAATACACAGAGACACTAGCTCCTGAAGGGATTTTGTTTTTATGCAGGGAAAGTTTTAGAGGCAACATGCCTACCAAAAATATACTTCTGGATACAGACTAACACGGCTGCTACTCTGAAACCTGTCAAAAATATTAACACTCTACCTCCACAGTATGCAGTTGTGTTCAGCTTTCGTAATGAATTAATGGTGCTTGGCTGTTTCAAGAAAAAAATAAAATCTGAGCATTCGTTTTTTACTGGTAGGGCATAATACCGCTCTGAAGACATAACCACCTACCCCACCACTGGGTGCCAGGGCTCACCAATGTGGGTAGGTTGGTACTTTGATGGGAGATGTAAAGCAACGCCTTTGAGAATCAGTAGGTTGCATGCTACCTGAGTCAGTATGAGTCTGGTATTATGGGTCACTGAACTGCAGGAGCTACCGAGGAGTAAGAGCCAGGTGCTGACCACTTGTGGCAATTAAAGATTCCACAGCACATTTAATGAAAGTCTTGGCCAAATTCCCATTCAGGGCATTAAATCTCACTTGCCTAAATTCCCCCTGCCATCTCTACTGGAGATAGTGTTCTTCATTTCCTAAACCGTTTTATAGTGTTGTTTCACACTGCCATGTACCCCACAAGAGGTGGATAATTTAGTTTTTCATTCATATTTGGATTAAAATAAGGCAAAGAGGCAGATAGCATAAGTAAGCCTGAACACAGAATAATTACGAGCTCATTAACAGTTCTCAGAAGATATTCAAATGGCTCCCCAGAACAAAAAGCCAGCATTGGGTCTTGAATACAAAGCTTGGAATATATTTAATATGCAAACCTGATGCAGCTATCTTAATTGCTCACACACCATAGTGACAAGTGCATTATGAAAAAGGAAATCGATAGGTTTTGTGGGGGGGGGGTTAGAGGGGGATTAAGATTTAGGCTGTCTATACCACAGATTTCTGCTGGCATAGCTGTCGGCTAGGGCTTGAAGACGTGTGATCTCTGACTGACATAGCTCTGCCAGCATGAGCCCCAGTTATATCAGCAAAGCTGCACTTTTACCAGCACAGGTTGTTTAGTTTTGTGGGGATGGACAGAGACAGGGAGCTGAGCTAAGACATAATGGTAAAACTGGCACTTTCCTATACTGGCAAAGTGCTCCTAGTGTAGACATAGCCAGGACTTACCTCCACAGATCACTGAGAAAATGAATAATGAAGAGAACAGGAGAAGCATTAAAACACACACACACACACACACACACACACCACAGAGTCAAAAATGGCTCCAGCTCTCTTCCACCCCCGAGCTCCCAGCTTAGTTCAGATCAAGATCAAAATTTCTCCAAAGTTCATGGAGCATTTGGCTTGGAGTTTTGGTTTGAGCCCGTCACTGCATAAAAATAAATCATGACTAGCATAATTAGCTGATAGAAATGGTAATCCTCCATCTAGCCCAGGGGTGGGCAAACTTTTTGGCCTGAGGACCATATCTGGGTATAGAAATTGTATGGCGGGCCCTGAATGCTCACAAAATTGGGGGTTGGAGTGTGGGAGGGGGTGAGGGCTCCAGGTGGGGATGCAGACTCTGGGGTGGAGCTGAGGATGAGGGGTTGGGGGTGCAGGAGGATGCTCTTGGCTGGGACCAAGGGGTTTGAGGGCAGGAGGGGGATCAGGGCTGGGGCAGGGGTTTGGGGCACGGAAAGGGGTCAGGGGTGCAGGCTCCAGGCGGTGCTTACCTCAAGCAGCTCCCAGAAGCAGCGGCATATCCCCCATCCAGCTCCTACACGGAGGAGCGGCCAGGCAGCTCTGCGCACTGCACCATCCACAGGTGCTACCCCTGCAGCTCCCATTGGCTGCAGTTCCCGGCCAATGGGAGCTGCAGGGGCAGTGCTTAGGGTTGGGGCAGCGTGCGGAGCCCCCTGGCTGCCCCTACATGTAGGAGCTGGAGGGGGACATGC